GTGGATCCTTGAAGGTCAGGCCATGGCATTTAGACAATATCCTGAGGGAAATTGGGAGCTATACTGACTCTTTTTTTTTTTTTTTTTAAAGTGTATAGCTTAGGGAAGAGTAAAAGAAAGGCCAAATACCCATATGCTTACCACTTTGACTCACCATCTTTCTTTAAAAAAAAAATTTAATTAGCTTTATTGAGGTATAATTTCCATACAATAAAATTCAACAGTTAATTTTGAGAAAGGTATATAGTTGTTTAACCACCACCACCACCATAATAATAATAATAATAATAATAATAATAATAATAATATAGAATATTTACACTAACCAGTAAAGTTCCCTTGTGGTCTTTGCAGTCAATTCAGAATCCTTCTGATTTCCCTTTTGATTTCTTCTTTGACCCAAGGGCTATTTAGAAGTGTGTTAAGTTCCCAGTATTTGGGAATTTTTCCAAGTATCTCCTACTGATTTAATTGCACTGTAGTCAGAAAACATACTCTCTGATTTCAGTCTTTTAAAATTTATGGAAACATGCTTTATGGCTTAGAATTAAGGTCTATCTTGGTGAATACTCCATGTGCCTGTGAAAAGAATATATCTATTGTTGGGTGGACTATTTTGTAAACGTTAATCAGGTCAAGTTGTTTGATCGTGTTCAGTCCTTATTTTTTGTCTACTTGTTCAGTGAGGAGTGTTCATGATTTCCAACTGTAATTTACAGATTTGTCTACTTTCAGCTACTGTCAGCATTTTTAATTAAAAAAAATTGTCCTCGTTCTTTTTAAAAAAAAATATTGATTTAGGCTGTGCTAGGTCTTAGTTGTGGCACGCGGGATCTTCGTTGAGGCATGTGGGATCTCCAGCCGCGGCATGTGGGATTTTTTATTTTCTTTTTTTCCTTGGTTGCAGCATGCGAACTCTTATTTGCGGCATGCATGCGGGATCTAGTTCCCCAACCAGGGATTGAACCTGGGCTCCCTGCACTGGGAGAGGGGAGTCCTACCCAGTGGACCACCGGGGAAGTCCCCCTTGGGGGGGACTTTCTTCACATACTTTAAGCTCTTTTATGTGATGCACATTTAGGAAAAATTTTATTTATTTATTTATTTTTGGCTAAATTGGGTCTTCGTTGCTGCACACGGGCTTTCTCTAGTTGTGGAGAGTGGGGACTACTCTTCGTTATGGTGCGTGGGCTTCTCACTGCGGTGGCTTCTCGTTGCGGAGCGTGGGCTTTAGGTGCACGGGCTTCAGTAGTTGTGGCACGCAGGCTCAGTAGTTGTGGCTCACAGGCTCTAGAGTGCAGGCTCAGTAGTTGTGGCACATGGGCTTAGTTGCTCCACGGCATGTGGGTTCTTCCTGGACCAGGGCTCGAACCCATGTCCCCTGCACTGGCAGGCGGATTCTTAACCACTGCGCCACCAGGGAAGCCCCTGAAATGTCTTTTTTAAATCCCTCTTTTTATTTTTTCCTTTGGTTTGTTTGTTTTAAAGTTTACTTTGATAATACTGTAGGCACTCCAGCTTTCTTGGATTACGGTTTGGATGGTATAACTTTTCCCATGTCTCCTGCACTGGCAGGCAGACTCTCAACCACTGCGCCACCAGGGAAGCCCCCCATTCTTTTTACTTTAACTCATCTTTATTTTTGTTAAAGTATCTTTTACACAGCATGTATTAACATTTTCTTTCTTGAAAAATAAGAAAATGACTTTCATTTAATTATGTTTAAATCATTAACTTTTAATGTAATTATTGATTGAGTTTAAAACTACCATCTTACTGTTTGGTTTCTGTTCTATCTGTTCATAGTCCTTTTTACTCCTCTTTTTGTATATTCTTTGGGATTAATTTGCTTTAAAAAATGATTTCATTTTATCTCTGATATTGTCTTACGTGATATACCTCCTTAGTATATATTTCTAGAGCTTGTTCCTAGGGTGTACAACATACACCTGTAACTTAAAAATGTATACCTTTAAATAAAATACCACCTCATTTATAGTGTACTTTCATTTCTCCTCTCCTCCATTGTGCTGTATTATCATACATTTTAATTCTATTTGTGTCATAAATGCCATAGTACATTGTGTTTCTTGAACACAATCACTTAATTTTGAAAGAGATTAAAGAATGAGAGAAGAAATCTTTTTTATTTTCTCATTATAGTCATTGTTCCTGTGTCAACACAGGTTTGTGTCAACACAGGTTTCCAGCTGGTATATTCCTTCTGCCTGAAAAACTTGCTTTAACATTTCTTGTAATGCAGGTCTACTGTCAGCTTTGATGTCTGAAAAAGGGTTCATTTTACCTTTTTTTTTGGTTCATCTTCATTTATGAAAGATATTTTTACTGGGTATGGAATCTTAGGTTGATAGTTTTTTTTGGTAGTACTTTAAACATGTTGCTGAATTATCTTCTGTCTTATGTAGTTATGCTGTCATTTATACCTTTGTTCCTCTGTATGTAATGTGTCTTTTTCTGTAGCTCCTTTGGTCCTAACCCACCAGCTGATTTTAAGGGTTTTTTTGTCCCTAGTTTTCAGCTGTTAGCCCATGATAACTTTTAATTTCTTTGTATGTTAATTCCATCATCTCTATAGTTTCTGTTTCTAATATCTGATTTTTTTCTCCAGTAATATGAGAAAAAGACATTTTCCTGATTCTTTACATGCATGGTAATTTTTGATTGGATGCAGATCATTCTTGATTATTACTTTTTTTGTGTGTGTTTGATTTTGTCTTGCCTTTAAACACTGTCAGATTTTTTTTGGTGTACAATTAAACTACTTGGAATCAGTTGAGTCCTTTGGAAGATGGCCTTTAAGCTTTGTTAGAGTGGATCCCAAACAGCCTTTAGTCTATGGCTAATTTTGCCCCGTAAATAAGGTGATGTTTTCCTGAGGGCTTTACCCAATGCTCCGTATATTACAGGTCTTTCTTAGCTGGATGGTGGGAATATGAACACTTCCCAGCCCTATCAATATAAGCTTTTAAGATTGTTCTGCTTACTCTTTTTGTGGTTTATTTTTTTGGCCTGGGTTAGTTGATTCTCTCACATGATCAGATATGAATCTGCCAAACATGTAAGGGGACGCTTCTTTAGATCTCTGAGCTCCTTTTCTGTTAGCTTCCTTTTCTTTGGCACTCTGACCCACAAATTCTAAATGCCTGGCCTCTCAGAACTCAGAGAAGTAGTGGCTCCTCAATTCAGCAAGACCAGCAGGCTCTGTTTGGGTTCCTCTACCCTGCATATTGACCTGAAACTGCCTCTGGGTAGTTAAGTTGGGCCAATTGCAGATCTTATCTCATTTGTTTATCCTCCAATGTATTTTGTCAAGTTTTCTGAATGTTTATGGTGGTAGGTTAAATTTAGTTCCTCTTACTCCATTATAGTCAGAAGTGGAAACTGATAGCAGTTTGTGTCCTTTTTCTCTTTTGTCCCGCTCTGAATCACTTCAGTGAAAATTATGCATGTCATTTTACTCTTAAGTACTTCAAAGTACATCTCCCCAAATTCAGATTATTCTCCTACTATATTACCACAGTGTTGTTGTATTGAAGAAAATTAACAAGAATTCCTTAATATCATCTAAGACTGATTGATTCCAGTTTGTCCTGGATTGTTTCTAAGTGTTGTTTGTTTCCTTTCTCAGTTGGTTTTTTTTCTCTTTTGCTTTTTTTTTTTTTTTTTTTTTTTTTTTTTTTTTTTTTTTTTTTCCTTCTGTATGTTTCGACATGTTCATGGTGGTGTGGCTCTTCTGTCGTTTTTCTTTCTGTGATAGAATTTGTGTTTTACCTACTTTTCTGCAGTCAGGACTCATGACCATATACAACCTTTTTGAGAATTCCAGGGCTCTGTTCTCGAGATTTTTTAAAAAAGTGAATTGTATGGCTTATGAGGGTTAGGGGCAGCGTCTGGAGTTCAGTGTGCTATGCTTTGACACTTTCTCATTACAGTATTCTGTTTATTTCCTTGGCTGCTTCTTTGAAAGATTATACCATTAGGTTATTTCCAGTGTTGTTTTAGTACACCTGTTCTCTTGAAAACAAGAAAAAAAAATCCTCTGATTTGTAGCCATTTCTAATTTCATTAGCATGAATACTCTACCCATGGCTGATTTCAAGCTACCAGCATGTCACTGAACAGTTGGGAAGAGAATTGGCACTCATGAGTCCGTATCAGCTAGCTCTAACACACACTAGTTATATCCATTTCTTACTTGGTTTTAGTTCTTGAGGATTTTTTTTTAATGTGGGAGGGTGGGCTGCTTTTTATAGTTATTTTTTCCCATGGTTTTCCCATTGTTTCATTAAGTATTGGAGGGAGAAACTACATAATACAGTTTGATTTAATACTTTTTTTTTTTGGCCGCACCATGTGGATTGTGGGATCTTAGCTCCCCGACCGGGGATTCAACCCAGGCCTCAGCAGTTAAAGTGCTGAGTCCTAACCACTGGACCACCAGGGAATTCCCTCATCTAATACATTTTCTTCAATAATTTTAAAAGTATTACCATGACCATATCATAAATACTGATGTTTAGGCACAGTTAACAAAGAAACATAGGTCTTTTGTAGAAGCTGATACTGAAGTGGACTTGTTCACTGTATGTCCCTGGGTAGTGTTTTTAACTTTCCCGTTTAAACCCTGTGAATCATGTTTTATCTCAATTATAAAGATTCTGAAAGTCATCAGTCAGGTCCTTTGTAAGTGAAGGTAAACATTATGTTGCTTCATAAAATTCCTTTGTGTGTGGGACAGAGAAGAGATGACTTTGTTTAATAACTCTCCCAGAAGTGTTACATCCATGCAAATAATTGAGCCGTTATCACATGTGCTTCACCAGAGCAGCCATAGTTACTGTTTTAAGTTATCAGAAGTGGCAAAATGCTTTATCTGCATTGTTACTTAAAAAGTTGACTTTTTGGTGCCGAAAAAGGAGTGGAAACTTTGCAAAGCTAAGTTTGTACTATGACTATTCAGTCCACTTAAAAGAAATACAATTCAGTAATCCTACTTTGATTTTGAAAATGAAAGACCTACCCCAAAGTTCTCATAGTACAACTTCCCCATTCTTGATTTTTTCTTGATATTTTATCGTGTGAGGTATTTTTAAAAAGCCACATATAGACTCAAAGATATTTTTTAAGGAATATGGAAGATGCATTGGTACAATATATAATCCCATTATTGAGTCCTGATTTTTAGAAGTTCCATACTGGGAGGTTTTATTTTCTCTTATACCTTGGGTTCACTATATTTTCTATGCTAGTTGTAAGATAGCTCTGGATTCTAGTTTCAGGCTCCATTTCTGTCACCTCTCTTGAGAGCAGTGCATTCAAGAGTATGGTGAAGTGACTCAGTATTTTATTTTATTTTATCATTATTATTTTTTAGGAGTCAATTTTATTTTATTTTGAATTTTTGAATTTTATTTATTTTTTTATACAGCAGGTTCTTATTAGTCATCCATTTTATACACATCAGTGTATACATGTCAGTTCCAATCGCCCAATTCATCACACCACCATCCCCACCCCCTGCCACTTTCCCCCCTTGGTGTCCATATGTTTGCTCTCTACATCTGTGTCTCAATATCTGCCCTGCAAACCAGTTCATCTGTACCATTTTTCTAGGTTCCACATATATGTGTTAATATATGATATGTGTTTTTCTCTTTCTGACTTTACTCCTGTATGACAGTCTCCAGATCCATCCACGTCTCTACAAATGACTCAATTTTGTTCCTTTTTATGGCTGAGTAATATTCCATTGTGTATATGTACCACATCTTCTTTATCCATTCATCTGTCGATGGGCATTTAGGTTGCTTCCATGACCTGGCTATTGTAAATAGTGCTGCAGTGAATATTGGGGTGCATGTGTCTTTTTGAATTAATGGTTTTCTCTGGGTATATGCCCAGTAGTGGGATTGCTGGGTTGTATGGTAATTCTGTTTTTAGTTTTTTAAGGAACCTCCATACTGTTCTCCATAGTCGCTGTATCAATTTACATTCCCACCAGTGGCTCAGTATTTTAAATTGAATGGTCTTTTCATGCTAGGCTTTGTGCTAAGGAGTTTACTTTTATTTAAGTTGTTCACTTTTGTCTCTATTTTACAGATAAAAAAAAAAAAACCCTGAGATTTTAAAAAAGTTTAATAATTACCCAGATCATGTAGTTATGGTGAGGAAATGTCAGAATTCAAACCTAGTTCTGTCTTTATTCCTGAATGTATGGCCTCAATTTGTGTATATAGGTCTCAAAGACAAGTGTGAGAGAAGGCAAAAAAGGAAGTGGAGGAAAGGGAAGAGATGGTGATGACTGTGAAAAATTTACTGAGCTTTCACTGTATGGTAGGCACTTTGCTGATTGCCACACATGGCTTAAATCATTTAATCATTGTAACAGCCTTAAAAAAGAGGTATTCTACTTCTTTCTGTTTTTCTTTTTGCGGTATGCGGGCCTCTCACTGTTGTGGCCTCTCCCGTTGCGGAGCACAGGCTCCGGACGCGCAGGCTCAGTGGCCATGGCTCACGGGCCCAGACACTCCACGGCATGTGGGATCTTCCCAGACTGGGGCACGAACCCGTGTCCCCTGCATCAGCAGGTGGACTCTCAACCACTGCGCCACCAGGGGAGCCCTTACTTCTCTCTGTTTTAAGAGTGGGAAAATGAAGTTGAGTTTTCCACTTGATCAGGGAAACAAGCTAATAAAATGAAGGTAATGGGATTCAAACCCAGAGAATTTTTTTATTCTAATAAGAAAATGCTTGCCATAAAATTTACTATCTTAACCATTTCTGGTGTACAGTTCAGTAGTGTTAAGTATATTTACCTTGTTGTGCAGTCTCCAGAACTTAAACCCAGATGACTTAAGAGTTTGTATCCTTAACCATATAATGACAAGCAACTAACTGCATAAACAGAAAATTTAGTGATGGAACATTTAGGCTTTATGCAATACATTAGGCGAGAAGCAATGGTTTTTAATACATTGGTCACCAAGTGGTGAAGGACAAGATCCCCAAGAGAGGGGAAACAAATGAAGCGAGACCTATGATTGTTCCAGCTTTCTGCCTGGAATGAATTTCCATCTGCAATTCATTCGTGCTACAAGAGGGAAGCTAGGTGGAGGCCAACAAACTCTGAGTTGAGATGGAATGGGACCAAAGCAGCTAGAGTTTGCAGACAATATTAGAATGAAGGGTGCTGCATAGAGAGAGAATCCCTGAGATCTGCAGAGGGTTCCCCTGGAGTGTTTGGCAGAGTATTGATCAGTGTGTATATGTGAGGAAATTACCTGAGGCCAGGGAAAGAAACAGTGCCCTATGTTCACACAGTGCAGGAAATAGTACTTGTTCTTACCGGCCAGATGGGAAAAACTCATGCCATGATTTGTGGAGCATTGCATAGAGTACTCAGATATGTCTTGCCCCAGTGGTAGGGAATAAAATTAGCCCTACACTGAACACTGCTCCAGACCCATGTAACAAATCATAAAGGCAAGACCCAAAAGGATCAAACTTTCTAACTACCTTTACTTTGTCCTGTAACAAAGCCTAAGAATATTTATAAGAATACAAAAAATGTCCAGCCCCTACAAGGTGAAATTCACAGCATCTGCCATCTATTCAGTGAAAAATTATGAGACATGCAATGAAGCAGGAAAACACAATCTGTAATGAGAAGAATAAGCAGTCAATTGGAACCAATCCATAACTGTCATGGGCATTAGAATTAGCAGACAAGAACATTAAAAGAGTTATTACAACTGTATTTCATATGTTTAATAAGTTAAATAGAGACCTAAAAGGTATAAATAAAACAGACGGAAATCTAACTTCTGCAGACGAAAACTACAATGTTTTCAATGGAAAGCACACCAGATGGCATTAACAACAGGTTAGACATTACAGAATATTATTGAACTAGAAGAAAGCAGTAGAAACTATTCAAAATGAAACAGGGAAAAAAGAATTTTTGATAAATATGAAAAAACCCATCAGTGAGCTGTGGGAAGAATTTGAGTGACCTAATATACTTGTAACTGGAGTCCTTGGGTGGGTGGGGGTGGGGAGAGTGAAAAAAATGGAAGAAATAAGAGTTGAAAAATTATAAACCCACAAACCCAAGGAGTTTACTGAAACTAAAGCTCAGTAAATATGAAGAAACCAAAGCACGTCAGAATCAAATTGCTCAAAACCAGTATTAAAGAGGAAAGTCTTAAAAGCACTAGGGAGGGAAAAGACACATTATATTCAGAGGAGCAATGGTAAGGATGACAGATTTCTTGTCAGAAGGAATATGGGTGAAAAGAGAGTGGAGCAAGGTTTTAAAAATATTTAAAGAAAAATACGAACTTGTCGACCTGGAGTTCTGTGCCCAGTGAAAATATCTTTCAAAAATGAAGACAAAAATAAAGACTTTGAGACATCCAACATCTGGAAGAGCTCTTCACCAGCAGAAGAAATTTTAGAGGAAGTTATCTAGGTAGAAGGAAAATGATACCAGATGGAAATATGGATCCACATGAAGGAACAAAGAACCCTGGAAATGAGAAATAGAGATTTTTTTCCTTGTTATTTAAATCTCTTTAAAAGATAATTGTCTGTTTAAACCAAAACAATAACAATGTATTGTGGGCTTTATAAGATACAAGTAAGTAAAGTATATGATGACAATAGTCTAAAGACCAGGAGGAAAGAAGTGAAAGTATAGTAATGTCAGGTTCTTATACCTGAAGTGTTATAATATCATTTGAAGGTAGGTTAAGTTAAAGATGTATACTTACAAAGATGTATACGCCCTAAAGCAACCACTAAAATAACCAGAGAGTTTTGCTAATAAGCTAGTGAAGAGGTAAAAAGAGAATCATAAGAAACTAATTAGTCCCAATAAAGGAGAAGGGAGCAGAGAACAGATGGGACAAACAGAAATAAACAGCAAGATGATAGACTTAAACCTAACCACATTAGTAACTACTTTAAATGTAAATGATCCAAACACTCCAATTAAAAGGCAGAGATCATCAGATTGGACGAAAAAGCAAGACCCAGCTCTATGCTGCCTGCTGTGAACTCACATTAAATACGTAGGCACAAATAGATTAAAAATAAAAGGATGGAAAAGAGATACCATGCCAGTCAAAAAAAAAAAAAGAAAAAAAGGAGTGCTATATTAATATCAGACAAAGTAGATTTTAGAACATAGAATATTACAAAGAATAAAGAAGATCATTCGATAATTGATAAAGGAGTGAATTAATCCAAAAGGCATAATACATAATAATCTTTGACATTTATGCGTGTAATAATAGAACTTCAAAAATCAATTAAGCAGGGCTTCCTTCATGGTGCAGTGGTTGGGAATCCGCCTGCCAATGCAGGGGACACGGGTTCGATCCCTGGTCCCGGAAGATCCCACATGCTGTGGAGCAGCTAAGCCTGAGCACCCCAACTACTGAG